TATCTGCAGCCTTTGTCCATCGCTGGCAAATCAATGCGTTTACAGGCCTCTGACCCGTGAATCAAAGATGCCCCGCACCATTTAAGTGGCCGCAGTCGCATGTAATCGTGCCTCACCTATTTGGATATCGGCACCGCGGCAACACAGGCAGCCGCATGCAAACTCGCTGACGTCCGCAATTGCCCCGCGTTTTGTACCCAATCTTTCCTTCCTTTGATCTATGCTCGTTTCGCCCATTGCCTATTACTTAACGATGGACGTCAGGACGATAAGCAGTGGGTAAGCAGGAAATGGTTAATGCCAAGAGACGCCATTTAGCCTGGTTGCTGGGAGATGAATTTGCCTCTTCAGTTGAACATTTTTGATTGAACCTAGATGCCCTGTACCGACTCAGAGGCTGGGCTGATGTTGTTGGCCAGGAACAAAGCTTGCATGTTTGTGTGGCTGTGTGTGGTCTATCTGTCAACAGACCTACAGACCGGATTCACCATCAAAATGACTTTAGATGAGGTTCCGGGAGGTGACCTTTTTTTTTTGTGTACGTTTTAGCCCTATGGATAAAACAGCCTAAATAACATGCAGCTGCTACGCTGCCTGTTCCCTCTGCCTTCCAATAGGGGGCAGTCTAACAGGGTCACTTCAGCGGTAAGGCTGTAAGTTTTCATAATTCTTCATATCAGATACCCGTCGATACAAATGCTGATAGATCCTGTTTGGTGCCACGTTCAAACCCTGCGGGTGGTTGGCATAGCAACAGCAAGCTGCTGACCCCGCCTGTTCTCTTGGTCGTCATGACGTTGTCGATTAGGACCTTTACTCTTGTTAAAACCCTTTTTGGCCTCAAGGCGATCATTTAGTTATCGGTGCAAGAGGACAGTTGAAAAGCCTTCCCTTTAGCTGGTGAGGGATATTTTAAATGGCCACCTTTTTAAAATGGTGGTTTTATTCATTAAATATGTTCACCTTGATTTAGTAACCGAATGCCAGATTGGCTGCTTTTTATAATAATATGATTAGAAACAGTTTGAAGTACATCTGGTAAAGACTGTAAAAATATTCCAGGATAAATCCAGGTGACTAAATGATTTGGCAGCTTTTCAAAACGACTGGCTCAATTTCCTTCATTAGACTCACAGGCAGGAAGGAAGTGAAAAGGATGTCTCTGCAATCAATAAATATACAATAAATAAAATTAAGCCCTTTTTGCAATGCTTCTTGCCCTGTCCTTCACAAATTGGTTCTGTTGAACAGTGCTCTATATATTTTTCATGGCTGAGCACATTTGAATGTAATCTCGCTCATATTTTATGGGGTTTACATTTCCAGTATTTTTTTTTTTTTTAATGTTTTTGAATGACTTAAGTAATCAGAGCTTCTGGTAAACATGGGTGCCATCCAGGGGCCTGAATTAGATGCAGGTGGCTGCCCTTGCCCAGGGCCCTTTGCTTGTGCGGGAATCTGAGTGTCGGACATGCGGCCAGCGGGGTTGGCATACCTTCCCATAATGCCCTGTCAGGATGAGCGGAGCTGGTTTGTCCTATAACATTACATTGGACCTTCCCCTGCACCTCCCTCCTGTAACGGGGAGGGGAGCAGGTACTACGTAGAATATGCATGAAGTTTGTGTGTGTGTGTGTGTGTACATATATATCTTTTCTCACTCTTCTGTTCTACAGCACATTAAATGTGCGCGTACTGTTTATATGTCACACACTCCTCTGCGTAGGTCCCATCCCACAGAATGAAGAGCACATAGTTTCTATTAAAAGCACAAATCATTAATAGCAAGAATTTCAGTGCCAGAAAGCCATCGCCAGATCAAGCACCTTGCACTCAATTATCCACGTTTGTTTTTTCTTTTTTTTTTCTTTTTTTAAGTAAGATTTTAATCATTTCTGTTTGGAAAATCGGCGTGTTGTGATTTGAGGCACTGTTGTTGTTCTTGTAGGTAATTCTGGGTAATTTTATTGGGTTTGCGGTTATGGGGGTTAAAGGAGGTTATGGATGGTGAGGGAAGCATCATATTGCTAACCAGCTCAGCAGATACTACATCCTGCACCCTACCCCAACCCCCCACGTAAGGGACTCCTGGTCCTCTCCGTCCTTTCGAAACCTAGATTCCTCAGTTTGTCAATTTGTCGTGAGCGGCCCTTCAGTACAGGGCCTCCATATTAGGAGAGGTGTCTGCCTGGAGTCGCCCCCGTGGCCCCTGAAGTTTGATCCGAGCCTGGCGGAGTTTCAGGGCTGCCCCGCCTGGGCCTACCTCACCTCACTTCAGCAGCAGGAATGTAATGTTCCCAACTGCCTGGCCTGTTTTTCGCAGGTTTCTTGGAAAGCCGAGGTAATCTGATAACGGCTGACTGAATTAGCCTGTCATAGAAAGATCTCAGAACGGATATGGTCTCCGACTCTGGGACGCCTCCATCCATTAATGGTCGGCTAATGGTGTGTTTGTGCATTTGAAATGCGCCGGTTGGAGCTAATATGTTTATGATTTTCATAATTTTGCGATTCTGCAAGCAAAATGTTGCACCTTTTTCACTTCTAATCAGTAGCTAGAACAATTTCACTTTATTTAACTGCAGCAGCGACTTTGTAAAAGCATATACATTTTTGTAAACCGGTTATGCTGAAAGTAGCACTGAATCATTGTGGACAGAAGTGTGTCTTCCAGTAATAACACCTTGGAACATCTAGTGCAGCTATCTTTATGCTCCGAGTTTGTGTTGCGCTTTCTCGTAGGCGAAGATCTTGTTGCTCTGGGTGGATCGTCTTCCTTCCTAAATTTATTTGTTGTCTCTCTGAAATGGAAGAAGAGAACAGTTTGCACCGCCCGAGTTGAAAGATCAGCGTGTGGGCCCCCGTCTGCAGGGCTTTGGGCGCCCGCACTGGTCTGCTGGCCCGTCGCTGTAATGGGGGCGAGTCTGTGACATGACCCCAATTGACGGCTGAATAATAGGGATTAAGTGAACGGCGCAGGGCCTGGTTTCGGGAAAGCGTGTCAGACGGCGGGAGCTGTTTTTCTCCACATCTCGATCCCGCTGCGGCACGGAGAGCGGATGTCGCGCCGTCGAGGCTGTTAAAGAGCCCCGCTCAAATCCCCGCGTGCTTTTCCTCTGATCTTTTCATCTCGAGCAAAGGGAAAAATCGTGCTCGTGCTCCAGTACGGAGAACTTTGTTACCAGCACCATTATAAAACATGCATCGAGTTACCACCTGTCCCATATATTATGGGATCATCCTGTATTGAGAAGAAAAATGTCATGTCCCATATTGGACTAATATGGGACGTGATGTGTTCCGTATTTTCGTACACATTTCGTAATCCCCAAATTTTAACGTCACAGGGGTGGAGATGGGTGTGGAGGCATCCTGAATTTTTCCAGATTGAAAGTGGCATCTTTCAGTTTGACTTATGGGGCTACAAAACTTAAGTCTACTAAACTACTTTAAGCTTGAGGCAAGGCTGGTTTATTTCCATTTGGTTCCTGTATTGGTTCCTAGTGGACAAATCCAGGGAGTTTTTAGTGACTGTCATTTGCAAAGCTTGTGTTCTCTGTTAAGCTTCCTGGAGACTCCTAAAACGTTGCTTTGAGCCACAGTCCTGCCATGGATAGTGTACAGCCCCTCTCTCCTAGCCGGGGGCTGGCTGGCGTGTCACTTTACGGGTTCACAGAAGGTCATTCGTGTTGGCCTGGTGCCACGGATGGATTCTAGGGAAGATTAGCGCCAACATCGATCACTGGCCTGACATCAGGATGTCTCAGAGATTTGCAGAACAGAGCTTAATGTGGCAAAGGGGGGAGTTTAAGGAGCGCTGTTGCGTTATACCTATTCTGTCCAGTCAGCCAGAATGCTTAAAAAAATCAAGGTGACAAATACAATATTTCTAGATGTGATTTATGGGGTTATCTTAGAACTTAGAACTGCTCCTTACCTTACATACGGTCCAGAAATTGCCCTCTTTAACATTTAGCAAGCTATTTATAGGAATTTTAAACAACACCAAGCTTGTACTTTTACAGACTTAACAGCTGGAGTAGAGGACATAGGCTTTGTTTTTGTCCATTAAGACCATTGTTTAGTTTGCTCGTGTTATGCTGGGAAATACTTAATTTTAATTAAACGTGTAGTAAGGAATCCTTTCCAGAGGTAAATTTGGATTCTATCATTTCTGTTCTGTAAGGCAATCAGTGGCCAAGATGGCGATCTGGTCTGACCCGTCAGATCCCGGTGATGCATATACTGTAAATATATTCACATTTCTCCATTGCTTTTCGCCAGGATTTCGACAAGCTGCTTGATGGTTATTGTTATGTCAGGGGTTTTCTCAGTACATGTGCATCTTCTTTAAATGGGCCGCATACAGCGGGGGTGGTAATGGTTGTGAAGGTTTATCTGTGCCGGTGTCTGGAAAGGCGGCTGTAATTCTTTCAGAGAGTCAGCTCTTTGCAGGAGATTCAATCATTTAACTTTTCTAAGTGAGACATGTCTCGCTTCCACCGGCGCATTCAGACAGCTTGTCACTTAGTGCATTTCGGAGTCCACTTACTCTGAGGGGCTCGTTCAAGGGCATGTGGCCCAGTCACAGAAATACAGCAAGGTGCTGTGGTTTTTTGCTTTATATTGACTGTGTCATGTGGCTTGGTGGAAGTGTTTCTGTTACACAGACCGCTATGGAAACCGTAATGTAGATTGTCGTTTCAGCAAACACATCTGACTGTGCTAATCACATGGTCGCTGTGCTGTTGGTGGATCATTCTGTCCTGGCTTAAACAGCCTCTTACCCATGGCCTACAACAGGGATAATTCTGTTGCCTTACTTCTGTTTGTTCTTGCTTCCCATGTCCAGGGATAAAATTGATCACAGGACTGTGACTCACTTGACAAGAATAAGTGCTTAATAAAAGCTGGGCACATTTTACCCCGTTATATTTATGTGTGTGTGTGTTTTACCCCACGGAGCTGGTAGTCAGTGTTTCCCTCTTGCTGTGTTGCAGAAACCATGTGGAGCTCACAGGACGGCGATGGCGGCCAATTCGGTCATGTGACCGCACGGATGGAAACCACCCCGGGCTTCGGGATGCCTAGCATCTCTGTCTCCCAGCAGCAGGTGCCCAAGAAGTTTGCCCCGGTGGTCGCCCCCAAGCCGAAGTTTAACCCCTACAAGCAGCTGAGTGAGTCTGCGCAGTCGGAAGGTAGGTTTGATCTGGGGCTCTGAAGATGCAATCTAAATATGACCGCCTGCTTTTTTTCTTCTGTATAAGTGTATATTGTGAAAGGCGCTATATTTAATAAATTGAATTCAGTTGTTTTCCTCTTAATTTTTTATTGAAATTTAGTTGTAAGTTCTATTAATTCCAGTGTCAGGTGTTAATTAATCAGTGAGTAAGAACTGAAACTGCAGCCCTTCTGATAGACGCACCTTACCATTCAGTCACTCAGAGGTGAGTGCTGAGCCAGATACACGATAACCTCATTCTTTGCAAAAAGACGATCAGGAATTCTCCATTGACTGGGGCAAAAGGACGGCAAGCCAAATACACAGAGAACAGCAGTGCTGCTATCTTTTTCCGTCTATTTATATACTTAAAAACAACAGAGTCGTGTCAATAAAAAGAACAAATATTGGGACTGAGCTGCGGTTTTGGAGCGGGCCGCACGTGGTTTGCAGTGCAGGCGACACTGGCGAGGGATCCTGCCAGTGGCTCCAGGCCATGAGATGGGGTTCATGCAGTGGTGCCCTTCGTGATGTCACTATGGCAGCACCCTGGCCGGCCGGCTGGCCCTGCTGCACGCAGTGGAAATGGCACCTGGTGTGTTACTTCTGTGCTGAAAATAGGATTTTTGCGAAGGCTTGTGTGCCTCCGATTCTCAGAGGGATACTTTTCCCGTTCCATGTTACGCTGGGTATCAGCTCGGTGGAATCTCATGTTAACATCCATGGAAACGTGACAAATTCTCTGCAGGTTTGCTAGTTTAATCATCAGTGACCTGAATTAAAACAATGTGAAACTGTGCTACAAAACTTAACACTAATAATTCTAATAGAAATACCTAGTTTCACTGCTCTTGGAAGCAAGACTTTTATCCAACTTTGGTAGTTAGTTAATGTTTTGCTCAAGTTTACTTGCTAGCTGCTGATGCTGAAAGAGTTATTAGTGTTCATTCAGTAGCTGTGTGGGTTTGTGCACAATTTAATTTTAACTAGAAGGGCAGAGTGTCAGGGCCTTTTCCCCAACGGGGTGAATTTCAGGGAAACTATTATTTTTATGCATGAACACCTAGCAACAAACACAATTATTGGCCTGTGATGTTTCTGAGCTGTTTTTCATAGTCTCTGTCACGCTGCTGTGCCACCTGCTGGTAAAATGTCCACCTAATCCATTGTCTAATTAGTAATCATTGCACATGAATTAAGAAAAATAATCTAAATTAATCAAGGTCTGCACTGTGGCTCAGTGGGTAACATTTCTAGGTTTGAGGCCTTAAATTCCACTTTCCGTGTGTGTGAGGAGTGTGCAGGTCCCCTCTTTCTCTAGCCCAAAGACATGCAGTTGGGGTCATTGTCATGGGGGATTGGCACCGGGACCCCCTGTGGATCGCAAAATCCACGGATGCCTAAGATACTTAAATAAAATGGCATAGTATTTGCATATAACCTACACACGCCCTCCCGTATACTTTAAATCATCTGCAGATTACCTACTAATATAATGTAATACCTAATATAATGTAAATACGATGTGAATCGTTAACTAAACTTAAATAAACATTCAGACATACTCGTTCTCTCGCTCTCTCGCTCACTCACTCACGCACACTTTTAACTCTCACCAACATCCTAAAGTTCATTCATGTGAATATAGCATTATGCTTGATGCACAGTAAATTCCATCTTTGATTTTTGGAAATTGCTGCAGTCTCACCTTTCTTTCTTTCTTTCTTTCTTTCTGTAATTCCGATCTGCGGTTGGTTGAATCGCATTCGGAGGGCAGACTGTATGTGAGTGTGTGTGTGTATGTGCCCTGCGATGAACTAGCATTCCTTGCAAGGTGCAGCCCAGCGTTGTGCCCTGTGCTGCCAGTACTATAAGCTCCAGGCCTGGTTGCTTCCCTTCCCGGGATAAGCTAAGTCTGAGGATGGAGGCTTGGACAGTCAATCAGCTTTTTGCTGGAGCTGGAAAAGGAACAGTTTTCTGCTGCTTTTGGAATTGCTTTAGTCCAGCCATCCAACTTAGAAATGCTTATTCAGTTCAGCATCCCAGCGGGTCTGGAACCTATCCCAGTCAGCAGAGCGCACAAGGCAGGGAGTCACCCTGAATGGGATGCCAGTCTGTCACAGAGGAGCCTCACACCTCCAGTCTATGTGGAGTCTGCGTGGTCTCTTAGTATCCTAGTGCGCTCTGGGTCTTTCCTGCAGTTCAGGTAATTGGCGTCTCTGAACCGCCCACAGTGTGTGAGAATTGCTAATTGAATTAAATAGATAATTTTTGATCTTGAACTGACTTCCAAGATTTTTCTTCAGTCCATTACTCAGGCTTCTCATAACCCCTCCTCATCCAATCAGCGATTCACAAAATACATCTAGTCATCTTATTCCGAATCTGAATATCTGAATTTTGGCCCAAGTATAGAGTCTGTTCTTCAGGGAATGCTGAGTTTTTAATGCATTGCTGCATGCCTACTTGCTGCACAGTGGGTGTTTTGGATGCAGGCAGTGTTATGTTGTCCATAAACAGTACAACTTCCTCCTCACCTTGACCGAAGCGTCCTGCATCTGCAGAAGATTCTGAGTGAACTGATAACCAAGTACAATTACTATGGCTCTTGGGTCACAGAATTTAAGGACTTGCAAATTCAAAATCAGTGGTAATAGATGTTTTTATGAAAGCTGTTTGAATTGATTAATTTTCAGTTACTTTCTTTTTTTTGCACTTAGCCTGAATGTAGTTTCGTCCAGTGCAAAGCTTAGAAAGGCCATTCAGCTGTCCAAGGGAAACATCGCTGTAGCCCTGAATTACTTTGATTATAAATATCTTTAATCCAGTTTTCATTTTCTGTTTCTTGTTCGCTTATTACTTTATTGTTAAGGTGGCTCATTAAGAATATAGTCTTGCCCCGTCTCCATCACTCTTATGAAAGATTAGTGGAGAAAGAAGAGCACTGATTGGTGCCTTTCTTCTCAGTATAAATTTACAAAACTAAGAGTAGGTTATACATACAGTAGTGTGGCCCGTTATCCAGGGGACTTGTGTTCAGCCTGAATGTCGAATGCATGTTGGGAGCGGTGTTGTGTAATGCTGAGTGCATTCTCGTCCACATGGGGTCACATGAACATCTGTTACCAGTCAGCTTCCACGGTATTATTGTTCAGGATTGCTATAGTAACGTGATTAGCCTCTTGAAAGTGAAGTAGCTTTCTTAAGAGTGCCTCCAGCACTTTTCATATACTGAAAGCCCACTTCAGAAGCTACATGGAGCTCTGCAGGCTTTGGATGAGTGTCTCTGCAGCCGTGCGCTGCAGTCATCTCCGCCGGACGCGGCCGCCACGCTTTCCCTGGGAATCGGCTCCGGCGCGCCGCAGAACGGCGCCCCCTGGTGTGTGGCATCCCAGGCATCTCTGGTGCACGGTGCCACAGGTTGCGGCACATTCCTGGAGATTATGAACTCAGGAGGCCCACGCTCCGGGCCGAAGTCTCCAGGGACAAGCTGACGCTGGATTCGCCACAAGTGACTGGATTTCAGATGACACTGGTGTTCTGAGTTAAGGCTGTGGGAGGGGGAACAGGTGGTTCCCTCCAGCGTGGCCAGAACACACACACACACACACACACACACACACACACGCACACACGCGCGCACTTCTGGATTGTTTCCACTTCCCAGCCAGCACCCGCATTGTTTCGCGGTTGCATTTCACGCTACTCTCCAGCAAAGACATGTTCAGCTTTACCTTTTCTGACCTCTGAAGGCCAAACACAATGGGATCCTTTATCTGCTGCCGTTGCTCGCTGGCGCGCGCACACACACACACACACGCACACAGATCGCCACGGCGGATCATGAGGCCCGTGAAGCATCGCCCCCACCGGCCCTGCCCCCCGCTCTGCAGCAGGAAGCGCGCGGTATTCCAGAGGTGCGGCGGTTGAGTGGCGCCGGGTAACGCATCTGCTCGTCTTCGTCTCCAACCCAGCGGATGGGGCCGACTTCCAGCTGTGCTCCCCGTGCCCCCCCCCCCAACCCCCCTGATTAACAGAACCGCCAGGAACCTGGCAGGGGGCCCCGTCGGCCCGCGTCCGCGGGAAGGCCGTCATTTTGACATTGTAAGTGCCATTATGATTACGGTGCTCGCATAAATGTGGCAACAGCTGCTCTTAAATCACGAGAGATGATAGCAGTTATCTGTCATTGGACAAGGTTATTGTGTTTAGCCCTTGACAGAAATTGTTATACAAATAGTTTATGGTCATTAAATCCAAAGTAGATGCTTTTGAACGCCTTAAATGAGATGAACTTGGATTCAACTTTCGGCAGTTGTAGCAAGAACTGTTGACTTAGGAATCCAAAATCAGTTTTCTGTCCTCAATCAATATCTCTAACTTCTGACAAAAATCTGGAGAGAGCACCCAGTGTGAGGAAAAGAGTTAATCGTTTGTGTTTTTCTGCTGAACCTGATCAGCATATGGCAGAGATGCACGCTACATGCTCTTCTCACTTGACATTGCTGTGTTTTGTGCAGACAGCATAAGTACAAGTTGTATTTCAGCCATTAAAATGTATTTATAGCTCAGTTTTCCGTAATAAACTATGGTATATTTCCAGGTGATTTTTATTGGCAAATATGCAGCACTAAAGAAAAAGGTCACAGAGAAAGTATCATATTATGAGTTGTTTATAAGACCACCTGTGTGTGGTTTGGGCCATTGGAGCTGTGGGTGCGGAGGGTGGGTTTTCGAGACCCTCACTGGAACATTCTAAGCGCCTAGCGTTGAAGTTGATTTTTAAGCTTAAGGAAATCTATTCCAGGAGGTCCCTACTCTACTGCCATCACCCAAACTACTTAACCTGTGTTCTCCCAGGGAAATGCCTACCTGGATAGATGGTAATATTCTCCCATTTACTTTGGATAAAAAAGGCCAGACAGGAAATCCAATGTAGTTTAATTAAACAAGTAAATAACTGTGTCAGAAAAAGAT